AAAACTTGATGGATTTATTCAAACATAAATAAACATTGAAGAACAGTAAAAAATATAATGAATGTTATATGGTGCATATATTTAGCAACATGCCCCTCTCTACAGTTATATATGAGTTTATGGTCACCAAATATGTTTTTCTGAGGTAAATGGGACGTTACGTGACATTGTTTACAAGCCGTTATATTGACGTATTTGCGCTGCTGAAACACGGATTGAGCAATTACATGAGACAGGATACGGATTGTAAAGTTGTACTCTTTCTTTTAACTTACCTTCGGATGTTTAATCATGTTTATTTTGTGCTATAACTAGTAATAAAGCGGAGGAGAAAATCTGAGACTTTGTTTCATATTAAAAGTACCAACGCACAATGCTTATTGCGATATATTGGATGGGAAGTGCGCTTCAAAGTTCCGTCCATTAACTGAAAACAAGATAGACTAATCAATTCTTGGGATTTAAGAATCGATATCGTTCGTATAAATGAGAATCGATTAATATCGAGATATCGATATTTTTTCCCCAGCCCTAATAAAAGCCTGATGCATCAAATGATACTCATCAACAACAACAACAAAAAATTGTCTAAAGGTTCAATAAATAGTTCCATTTTAAAAAATTAGATTTTTCTGATTATGATTTAATATGTCTGGCTTCACAGGGTTAATCTCAGTCTGGAAATGAACTAAAAGCACAGTGTATGTTAAATGTGAGCCTGGAGCACAAAAGCAGTGTTAAGTCGCTGGGGTATATTTGTAGCAATAGCCAACAATACATTGTATGGGTCAAAATAAAATTGACCCTTATGACTGGTTTTGTGGTCCAGGGTCACATATGAGCTTTGTGGCGTCTTAAGTTTGTGGTTTGTTTGTTGTTGTGTGTTCAGGGTTCCTCTGACGGTGGAGATGTGGCACAGAGAGCCCAGCTCTCCAGATGTTCTGCTGGGTTCTGTCAGCATTCAGCTTTCCCGTCTCCTCGGCTCCGAGAAAACACGCTTCCTCGACCCATCCGGTCATCAGCACTGGAGACAGAGCTGTTCTGAGAGGATCCCCATCATGAAAGCAGACGGGTTCGTGCAGAGTTAGAGATGAAAGGCTTGTGCTGCGGTGTAGATGCAAGCGTGACTAGTGCAGGGCTGCGTTTAGTTGCTGGATCATATTCTGTTCAATCCCAGCAGGACATTGTACCTGCAGCACACAGAACTCAAAACACACAATGCTCAAATGTTTTGTTTTTTAATTATTATTATTGTTATTGAACAGTATATCGTGTACAAACAACATGGCAACAATAATATATGTTTGCATTAGAACAGTAGAATCAGGTGCAAAAAGAAATAAACAGAATAGAAAATAGATAAAATACAAATAAATTGATAGAAGATAAATTTTTTAAAGAAAAATAAGAATAAAATTAAAAGGCTAGGTTTTTTTTTTGTTACATTCTTCGATTATGGCAAAAAGGTTTATTGCATTATTATTTTTCATCATCTTAAGGACATTTGTGTAAGAATGAAACTCATTGTGAAATACACACAACCTATGTTTCACTTTCAAATACTTGGATTTATGTATATAACATTTTTCCAGAACAAGGATGTTATTAACCAAAAAATGTTCTTTAACCCCTTAAGTGTCACCCTCTCGTTTTTGAACATAGACGTGAAAGTGCACTATCCGAACTTCCAGATTAATGAACACTTTGGAATACAGACCTAAGGTTGGACTCTTTTTATTGCAGAAGTGGAATCATTTCAAAATATGAAGGTATCAAAAAGTTATAGAAGTTTATTGACTGTAAAGAAAATGCACTGTATAATATAATTTTTATTATTATTTTATATAAAATAAATATTTTTCATAACTTATTTAGACATTAGGATTTAATTTTATAGCAATTTTACAGTAAAACTTATGTCCCAAATTTGAAGTTGATGTAAAAAAAAAAAAAAAAAAAAAAAAAAAATTAGTTCCCGGGGGGATTTTATTTAGGCGTTATACCACAAACAGCCACCGGGTGACACCCAGAAATTTTTGTTGATGCATTTTTCTGTCACAAATGTCTGAATTTCTTTGTCAATGTTACTTCTAACCACCAAATATGGAATCTTGAGACTCAGACCTTTCCAACGATATGTATTTTGTCAAGATTATAAAAAGTTTTGATTGTAAAATACCGTAATACATTTTGTAATATGACTCCTCCCACTAATGGAAGGAGACTGCCGAAAGATTTTAAAGTACCATTTCCATAGTAAGGCAATGTCCGATTTCAAAATGGTTTTCACAAGATGAATTTTGAGGTTTTAAGCTTTCAAATGATATCTAATGGGTGATCACTATCATTTTTGATAGAGTAAAAAAGCAATAAAATATGTAATGGCTGTGGGCCTGCCGGCGACACTTAAGGGGTTAAAGGTATGCTTCACCCGATAAATAAACATTCTGTCCTTTCTTTCTTTTATGGCAAAACAAAAGAAGATATTTTGTAGAATGTTCGGAACCAGACAGCATTAAACCCCATTTACTTTCACTATATGGAAAAAACATTGAGGCAAAAATATCTTCGTTTGTGTTCGTAGAAGAACGTCATACAGGTTTGAACGACACGAGCTGCAGAATGAGTTTTTAAGTTTTTAGGTTGAGGATGTTTTTTTTTCTTCTCCTGACCGGTCTGTTTAGATCACATCAAGCACATTTTTAGGATACATGACAACAATTGCAGGGATTAAAGTGTTCCGTCGCTACGACGGATTTCCCTCAGTTCATAAAGACAGTCACTTGCTTCATTCCTGAATGATTCAGCCGTTCGAACGAATCAATTGAATGAATGATTCAGTGATAAAATCAGTGACTTGCCGCCACCTGCTGGCGGATTTAGTTTCATTTTTAGCATTTTTTTTTAAGCGTTTTTCTTAAGTAGTAGAATAAGACAAATAAGTTACCAATCATATGCAATTAGTATTAATAAATTAATGTATACTACAGAGGTGGCACAGAAGAACACAAAAGTGGCTTGTAGGTACATTTCCAGACGTTTAATGAGGCTCAGAGGTGGCATGAGTGCAATTAATATTACATGATTTAAATAACTGAAATTATAGGCTAAAAATTAAACTAAATCCGCCAGCAGGTGGCAGCAAGTCACTGATTTTATCACTGAATCATTCATTCAATTGATTCGTTCGAACGGTTGAATCATTCAGGAATTCTTTATGAACTGACGAAACACTTTAATCCCTGCATTTGTTGTCTGGCCTTTTTTTTTTTTATGTCTCACAATTCTGACCTTTTTTGCAATTCTGATAAAAAATTTTAAAAAGTCAGAACTGCAAGATTTAAATTTTTTTTAGGTGCCGTTATCTTGTTTTCTGTGCTGGAACAAACAGAATTGCGAGATGTGAAGATTACCTTTTTTCTGCTTTTGTATCCTGTTGCAGAAATGCGCTTCTGTAGGAGTCGTTTTGATGGTTGAACTGAATTGTGTGTCTGTAGGTCTGAGAAGTTGGCTGAACTCTGTTATGCGAGCGTTCTTGAAGATCTGGGGTTTGTGAAAGCTCAAGACGTCCTCGTCTCTGAATCGTCACAGGTGCGGCGGCTCTTTGATTGATTACTGTTCTGTATCTGAAGGTGGATGTGGCTTGAACAGCAGGGTCACGGGTGTTGTTTGTTGTTCAGGGGCTGCCGGCAGCTCTGGCTCCTCCCCCTCAGGGCCCCGGGGGGGCGGAGCCTCTCACTCGACCTCGAGAGACCCCGGAGTACAAGGCAGCGCTGGAGCTGGAGATGTGGAAGGAGATGCAGGAGGATCTGTTTGATAATCAGGTGCGGCTCTGCACATCTCAGAGGGAAAACACAATTTCACTGCTGTTTTTAAAATTAATAATAAGAGTTTGAGGTGTTATGAAGAAACTCTAACCTTCACAATGCAAAGCTTCATCCTCGCCCAAAAACAGTGTTAGAAAAACAGCTCAAAGCGGACAGTGTTGAGCTCATACACTGTCAAAATGATTGCAATTTTAATGGTAAAAGACTGTTAATTGGTTAATTGTAAGCTCCCTTACTGTATACAGTGGAAAACTGTAATAGATCTAAGTAAAATACTGTTTTTTTTTTTTTATAAAAGAGTATTTTTTAAAAAAAACGTTAATTTGACATTGCCAGAACCTCACATTTAATGGTTTTTCATTAAAATAACTGTTTCTTAGTTTTAACAGTTATGTTTTATGTTGTTAAATGAATGTTTATTGCATTATTTTGTTACCATGATGGTGTTTTGTATTTGTGTTTATGACAACGTGTGCACCTTCTGTATATTTTAATATTTACGTGTATGTTATAAAGGTAAAACAGATTTTAGTCATTTGTTATATATTAACATTATTTCAGTTGATGAAATATAAGCAGTGTCGGGGAAAGTTACTTTTAAAAGTAATGCGTTACAATATTGCGTTTCACCATAAAAAAAGTAACTACCGTATTGGCCCGAATATAAGACGACCCTGATTATAAGACGACCCCCCTTTTTCCAGATGTACCTTTTGGAAAAAGGCTTTTTAAAAACCAAATCTTGTTTTTTCTCAGCAAAACACATTTTGTCTTCAATTGTTTTCATATTGCATGTTTTTCCTATTTTAATTTTTGTTTTGAAAGTATGGTAAAAACTGGTAAAATGTACCAACAATCACATTTTAAAAATTATACACTTTTTGATATACCATAAAAATAAAAAAAAACAGGTAGCCCATCTGAATTAGGACATTTAGGCTATCCATCTAATAGTAGCCTACCAAAATCTTATTAACAGCAGAAGTTAAATCTTACCGTAGTCTTCAAATCTGGGTACTGTCTTACGTTTTAAAATCACAAAGGCAGTTTGGTCCCATCAGGCTAACGTGACAGTCACGACTCATGCAGCTGTAAGGTTTTCTGCTTCTTTTGTTTTTACTCGCGATCTTTACAACACCATTACATTACGTATTTCATGGCACACTCGTTTTATGCGTATTTGGCGCCACCTAGTGTTGTGGGTGTATTATTGACATGTCAAAGTCTAGACCCTGAATATAAGACGACCGTGTTTTTTCAGATGTATTTCCAAGAAAAAAACATCGTCTTATATTCGGGTCAATACGGTAATTGTGTTACTTTTTATGGAAAGTAATGCGTTTTGTTACTTTTGCGTTACTTTTTCTCATCTGGGCTGGGCTGGGCTTGTTTGTTTGTTTATAATATAAAAAAGTTATATTTTTGGCAAATGTAAAATCGCTTTTACACCAAAAGTGAAATGAGTGTGCCTCAGGCTGAAGGAAATGTAGATTCACGTCTGTACAGTAGAGTAGATCAAACAATCCCTTTACCTGTGATGTTATTCTGGATTACATGAAGAATAGGACACAAGAGAAGAAAGTTCACAAAAAAAGTAAATACAAATGCAATGTTTATCTAAAGTCATTTGTGTCCCTGCAGCACAAAAGCAGTGTTAAGTCGCTGTGGTATATTTGTAGCAATAGCCAACAATACATTGTATGCGTCAAAATTATAGATTCTTCTTTTATGCCAAAAATCATTAGGATATTAAGATCATGTTCCATGAAGATATTTAGTAAATTTCCTACCGTAAATATATCAAAACTTAATTTTTGATTAGTAATATGCATTGCTAAGAACTTAATTTGAACAACTTTAAAGATGATTTTCTCAATATTTAGATTTTTTTGCTCCCTCAGATTCCAGATTTTCACATTTTGTCCGATCCTAACAAACCACACATCAATGGAAAGCTTATTTATTCAGATGATGCATAAATCTCAATTTTAAAAAATTGACCCTTATGACTGGTTTTGTGCTCCAGGGTCACATTTTTGCTTATTATTATGGTTGAATTGGATCATTGAAGGACAGCAGCAAAGACACCGATTAATAAAATGGGATTAAATACATTTGTGTTATTTATCATATTCAATTATTGTGGGTTTGCATCATATTCTGAGTTTGCATTTCACTGTTTTCATTCATTTTGAGGAACACTGAATCTGTTTCTGTGCAGTGAGATGAGAAATGCATGTTCACATTGAGTCTAGATCTACAGTAAGATCATGTTCACACACAACGCATCTGCACTCACTCAACACGAGGACCGGAGAGCCGTCGTTTAAGTTCTTTCAGAGGTAATGTGTTGTGTTTGTTTTGTCGTCAGCTGAAGCAGAAGGAGTTGAGTCACATGCAGGCGCTGGCGGAGGAGTGGAGGAAGAGAGATCACCAGCGGGAGGCGCTCATCAAGAAGAAGGTCAGACTCATATCAGTCCTTCAGTGGAACACTGTTTGGTTTCAGACAGTAAAGGCAAGGTTGAAAAATTAAAAGGAAATAATACAATAAAACACTAGCATGTAGCCTTCAAACTTATGTAAACATTGCATTTAAAGATCGCATTAGGAGTAAAAAACAAAACAAGTGGCAGGTATACACTGCAAAAAATGCTTTTCTTACTTAGGTTTTTTGTCTTGTTTCCAGCCCAGATTTCTGAAAATTCTTAAAGGGGTCATATGATGTTGCTAAAAAGAACATTATTTTGTGTATTTGGTGTAATGAAATGTGTTTATGCGGTTTAAGGTTCAAAAAACACATTATTTTCCACATACTGTACAGGAGTTTTACAGTTTTATCTTTACCAAATTCTGTTTTCCATTATTTTCTGGATTCCATTTTAATGGTTCCATTAAATTTTAATAATCAAAAGCATCTCCAATTAATTGAATTTATTTTAAAAAATTAAAAAAAAATTTTTTTTTTTTTCAGGAATACTGCACATTTACATTTTTCTCCTAAATAAATTCTGGTAAATAATATTTCTGGTAATGGTAAATACTCCTTTAAAAAGTGTTTTTTGATTATAATTGTATTATTAGTAGACTAGAACGCGTGGATATGTTGTCATTCTTACACTATAATACTGAACTTTGATTTCAGTGATTTGGACTATGAGATGGATGCACTTTACTTTTGCTTTAAAAAAAGGATTTTATAGAAATGTGGATTTCATTTGGTTTAATAAAATGTAGTTTAATAAAATATTCTTAAGTAATTGTAGATTTTTTGTGGGAAATTAATCGTTTAGATCAGTGGTCGCCAACCCGTCGATCGCGATCTTGAGAAAAGTTTCGATGGCAATGGCATTTTCTCCTCCGTATAAAGCGCAACTCTGCTTTGTTTACAGCGGTAACCAAGGAAACGCTATAGTGCGGTCGGTTCATAAGCAGTGTTGCAATTGTTGCCGCGGGTTGTTGTTCATGTCCGCGGGTTGAAGCGACCCCAATAACGTGATATTTAGTCCCTGGAATGTGAATTTTACTTAAAGATCTCTGCCGAAAAACTTGTATTTTACCCCCGGAATGCGATTTTTACAGAGGAACCCTCCTCAAACCGCGATTGGACTAGTTTTATTGCGAAAACCTGGCAACCCTGTTCATAGGCGCCACCTGCTGTCAGAGAGTGCGTCTCATTCAGACCTGCTGTTTTTGTTTCGTGCAGATGTTTTATGTAGCAAATAAATAAATAACACCAAGTCAGACCATTCTGTTTTTGTTTTAAATCCTGAAATTAATCTAAATCAAATCAAAAACAACTGCCCGTGCAGATCGTGATTAAAATGCAGTGGTTGCCTCTAATTTCAAATGGCTAGATATTTTTGTTTAAAGCCAGTTTGTTTGTTATAAAGCAAATAGCCAATAAATACATTTGCTTAAAAATCAGTATCAGAATCCAATTTGCTAGATAAAAAAAGAAAAGAAAATCTGAATTCTGAATCAGCTGTGATCGGCGCATCACTAATTAAAATACTAAGTAAAAGGCCTCAAATTTGACGTACAATCTGGGATGTCTTTTTCTATCAATTCTTCAATAGGTAGATCTTGTTTTTCATAAAGGCCGAGGTCAGGGATCTTGGGCCTAAAAAGGTTGGTGACCACTGGTTTAGATTAATCGAAATAAAAATAGTTGTTAGTGGCAGCTCTAAAAATCACATAAAGGAGCACACAAGTCATTTGAACCACTGTTTTGATGCTTTAATGGTGTTTTTAAGTGCTTTCTGGAGCTCTGATCAGCATCCGCTGTCATTTATATGTAAAGGAGCAGCATGAACATTCTGCTAAACATCTCATTATATTGTTCTGCTGAAGATATACAGTCATACAGGATTTGGATAACATGACTGTGGCTAAATGATGAGTTTTATATAAATAATTGCCATCACTATTGTTTTTCAGGAAGTCAGGAAAATTATTTTTATATTTAATTATATGAATTTATATATGTATAAATATTAATTGTATTTATTATATTATAAAAAAAATATTTATTAAAAAATATTTTAATATTACAAAAATTTATTATATTATAATTACAATAATTTTTCATGAAATATAATTTTTTTTGTCATTGCGTTTTCAGGAGATGGAGTATAGTCTCCTGGAGGAGCAGCTGCAGAAGACTCTGTCTGATCTGGAGAAGAGAGAGAAAGCTCTGGCTCACGCTGAGATGGAGGTGAGTCTAAATGATCTTCAGAGAGCGTGTCGTGTGATCGTGTGTTTCTGAGGCATTCGTCTGCCGCTCGTTTAGACGCAGAGGCTGCAGCGAGAGCTCCGCTCCGAGCACGAGTTCAGCATGCGAGAGCTGCAAGACAGCGGCCGGCGTCTGCGTGAGGACTGCGCTCACCAGGTGGAGCTGGAGAGATCAAAGGTCAGGCAGCTCGAGGATCTACTGGCTCAGCAGCGACAGCAGGTAAACACAGCAAACACCAGCTGTGACAGTGATCTCTGGCCCTTTGAAGGCACGAGGCGGGAGGGGTCACGGGGTCATGAGGTCACCATCCACCATCCAGCTAATCCACCCGTTCTTAAGGGAGGAGTGAAGAGCTTTAGCGGTGATCCAGCGAGCGCTGTTTAATGTCAGTGTTTCTGGTCTGGTCTTGAACTCTCTGTAGATGCACAATCACACTACAGCAAATGCTTTCAGTCACTAATGTTACCAGTGTTGGGGGTATTACGTAATCAGATTACTTTTTTCAAGTAACTAGTAAAGTAACGCGAATTTCCAAAGGGTGCCGCTAAAAAAAGGTTGGGAAACACTGCTCTAGACAAACATTTGTGTGTCTTTTTTATTCCTGGAGTGTGTTGAAATGTCTTCTGAATAATCCTGAAAAAGTATCACAGGTTCCAAAAAAATATTAAGCAGCAAACAGTTTCCAACATTGATTATAAATCAGCTTATTAGAATGATTTCTGAAGATCATGTGACACTGAAGACTGGAGTAATGATGATAGTGTTATATTAAAAGATAATCGCTGACGTAATGAATCACCAGCTTTCTGAGATCATTGTATTTGTCTGCGGCTCCTCTGTGAACTAGAGCATCTCCTCGTCTTCACACAGCCCACCTACTGAAATACTTCAGTCTCGTTCTTTCCCAGAAAACATCTGGCCCGGCGCAGCGCTAACAAATCAAGCAAAGCAGGTTTCTGACATTAGAAAAGAGAAGAGTCTTCCCTCTCGTGTCAGTAATGTGTAAACATACATTTGTCCCGGTTTATCCAGGCTCAATCCTCCCCGTCTCTCTTCGTCTTTTCTGGAGGCTCTCTGCTCGTTTGCGAACACCAAACATCGTGTGTCAGGTTTCTCTGGCGTCTGCTTTCAGAAGCGGCGGATGGAGAGCGCTTGTAAGGTTTTAGTTGGACTGGACGCTGTCTAACACACGTGAAGTGTTTCAGCGGGAGCGGCTTGAGCTGATGGATGTGCTGTTAAACACACACCGGATCTGTAATCCCTCTCAGTGTTCAATCACAGACTCAGCTCTGCAGATTAATAAGAGAGTCATGCTTGAGCAGACTTTACTGGGTTTCCGCGGGGTCTTAAAGTCTTAAATTTAGCTGTATCAAATTTAAGGCCTTAAAAAGTCTTAAATTGTACAAGAAAGTCTTAATTATGATTTCAAGAGGTCTTAAATTTGGGGACGGAAAGACCAGAATTGCGATATGCTGAATGTGACGATTAAACTTCAAAAGACTATGATTTCATTAAACGGTATCGACGGTACACCTTCTTCGGTAACGATATAAAAAATGTTCGATATAGCGCACGATATCGGCACGTGCTCTGAGTGACGCAGACAGCACACACAAACACATGCTGTAATGCCTGCCTGTGATGAGGAGATTGTGAATAAAGAATGAATATTAGTCGAATTTAAAATAAACATTTGCATTTGAATGCAAAAATAGTACAATCAAATGTTAGGTGTGCGTCAGGGAGCGTCATGATGATGATGTAAGTGACGTTGTTGCATTTTAATGTTTTGTTAGTCTAGCCCACGTGACGCACCGCTGCTGCGTTATTCGTTCAAAATATTAGAGCAATATAGTAGCTCAATGCGGAGAAGATCTTGATTAGGTTAAAACCGAAACCAAGCCATTCAGCAAAGTCAACGCAAAGACGCTAATAGAGGCGAATTCGCGACGCGAAATGCGCGATGCGTTTGCCGCGAACGCACGATATTCGCCTCAATCGCGTCTTTCGCGCAAGTTCAAAAACCTACACGAGCGCTGCAGGTTCAAAGTCCGGTGCTGCTGCTCGGTGTTCTGCTGTTACCGTGGAAACTGTGATATTTCTACCAAACGCTCCACCTGCTGTCAGAATAAATGAGTGTTTTCAATAAAACTGTTGTTTTGTTCAGAGTTCAGACCAATGTGTAAATCGACCCATGTTTTTACCCTGCAAACACGCAGAGCTTTGAATGTGGACTGGTGGATCGATAAAAAGACAATGCATTATAAAAATCTAAACAGAATAGGGGTGTGCGATAATATCGTAATTGTTGTTTTAACGATGTGCGATTTGATATTATCGAGTATATCGCGAAAAGCAAACACAACACCTACAGAGTGCGCGCATACATTAGATGACGAAGTCTAGCAGGTTAGACAATATATGGGGCAGAAAATTTATATATTTATATCATTTCATATAGTTAATATCACACGAAAAGTGCCGTTTTTTTTTTTCTCCAAAAGTCAGCATGATTATAAATGTGATATTCATTTTATACAACAGAAGTTAATATTAAGAGACTTGCGTCTTAGACGCCATATTTTCTGTTTTTGCTCTATTTCTCCAATAAAAATAATTCCAGACACAGCCACAGCGCTGTTTTGCGTCTCTGAGCAACATGACGGTGTTTCGTTCCTGAATGAATCAACCGTTTAAATGATTCTGTTCAATCGCAATGACTCACTTATTAACAGTGACTTGCTGCCACCTACTGGCGGTTTTAATTTCACATTTAAGGTGCCTTTTCATTTTTAAAATAATTATTTTTTTTGTGTTTAAAATATCAAAACATTATTTATGCATTTGTAACTGCAGGTTAAAGTATTCCATGTCCCTCAGAGCTGCATTAATGACACTTCAGATGCAGCTTCTGTGTTTCCTCTGCATTGCAAAGATACATTTTGTTGATACTGATTTAATTTGCTTGGTAACAGCCCAAATGCAAGAATTTGACTCAAAAGATGGTGCACACTTTTAGAAAAAATGGCCATAAAACTTGTTGGAAATGATTAATTTCTATCACTGCTGTGATCTTTACAGCACAAGCATCAGAATTTCATCATAGAAATATCAGCATCTGCACCAAATTCATATTTTTGCTCAGTTTGAGTCTCTGAAATACCACTGTATCAGAGCCATAAAAGCCTGATGCATCAAATATGATATGCATCATTTTTCTGTTTGTCTCTTGTGCCTTCACCACGTTCACTACGTTAGATACAAGAGGCTGAGAACAAATGCAAGCAGCTGGAGAAGGAGTTCGAGCTGTACCGGGATCAGCAGAACGTCCGGCCCGAGGTCCGTCTGCAGTCAGAGATCAACCTGCTGACCCTGGAGAAGGTCAGAGACGCTAAACCCTACACAGAGCAGAGGCCTATTATATCCAGTCTGTTTTGAGAATCATCTGTGTTGTTATCATCAAGGTGGAGCTGGAGCGTAAACTGGAGTCTGCTACTAAATCTAAACTGCATTACAAGCAGCAGTGGGGACGAGCCCTGAAGGAGCTAGCCAGGTTTAAACAGGTAAGACTAACAGGTTAACTATCTAAACACACTGCACCGTCACGGCTGTAAATGATAAGTTTAATCTCTCAGAGCGGATCAGAATATTTTGTGCATGAGTCAGTCTCATGAAAATGTGTCCCCAAATCTCACCCCAAAAAATATTGTTTGCATAAAGAAAATGAAGCCTGATATACGGATCATTAAGACATGTACTCCAGAGTCTCATGACTATATAATGCGCCTGGATGCTTACTTTGGAATTGGTTTGTAATTCTCATTCACAAATGTGTTTTTTTTTACTGCATTCAAGTTATACTAAAATACATTAAAGTACTTACAAAAAAAAAAAACATTATTAAAATATATGAAAAATAGATTTATAAAAAAATTATATATATAATTTTATATTTTATGTATTTATAATATGTTTTAAGTATTTTAAAATATACCGTATACAATATTCTTATTTTTAAATATATATCTATTCACAATTGTACTGTTTACTGTGTTCAAGTTACTCTAAAGTACTTAAAATATTTTAAAAAACATAAATATAGAAAAAATATTATAAAATTATATGATAGTATTTATAAAAAATATTTTTATGAAATTTTGTATGTGTGTATATATAATTTTATAATAGTTTATATATTTACTTGAAACATACTGCTTTACGTATTGTCATGCTGCATTAATACTTTAGTTTCACATGAATGAGGATGAGATTCTCGTGCATCACAGTCATGAGAATGTGCTTCAGTGTCATGAAAGTAATGTAACAATGTAAAACATCTTAATGGCTCTAAAAATAGCCTGGAGTTTGTGTTCTGGATCCAATCAGGCTGCAGTCAGCACCAGCTCAAGACTAATGGAGCAGTTTACTGCGTTACAGCAGACGTGGATGTGAGTTCTCATGGAAAGAGCTGTGTGAGTGAACATCGAGCTGCGCTGAAACATTGGGCCGCTTTCCCCTGAACCCTGAGCAGGACAGACACAGTATAAACAGAGGCTTATCAGCCTGCTAATAACTGTTACAGACACACAGCAGCTGGAGCGACCCAGACGCGTCTTTCTCCTTTACTTTCAAGTGCCAGAGATATATAAAGAAAACATCTGATGATTTATGGAGCTCCGAGGCCTCCATAACTTAATATGATATTGAGCTATAAATCAGGCTTGTATTATGTTCAACGTTAAACATCTGAATATCAAGTTGGCTTGTTGAAACATCGATGGATGAATTGAAGTGGATCGTTTTTCACTGAAATGATCTCAAAGACTAAAGATACAATGCTGTTCAAAAGTTACAATTTGTAATGTGTTTTAAAGAAGTCTCTTCTGCTCATCAGGGCTGTATTTATTTGATCAAAAATACAGAAATATTATTAGAATTTAAAATAATTCTTTCTATTTTAATACACTTTAAAATGTAATTTATTGCTGTGATCAAAACTGAATTTTGGTATCGGTCCAAAATTATTTTTATTTAAATGAAACGAATGTACTATATTGTAGTTTGATAATGTTTTAATCTTTTGTATTTTTAGGGGAAAAATCGTTATGATCCATTTATTACCTGTTAATCACTTTTTGAGCATCGCATAGACCTGAAAATGAATAAATCTTAAGGTTGGTCTCTTTTTAAGAAGGCATTTGGCAGATTATTGCTGAAAAAAGTAAAAAAAAAAAAAAAAAATTGAAAAAACAAAAGTTGTAGACGTTTAAGTTTTTTATTAGGAAAAATGCACAAAATATTATTTTAACATTTTAAATGAAATATATATTTAAAAAGTAAAACGTTTTACTCTAAAACTGCGAGAAAATGGAAGATAAATCTAAATGAGCTGTGTTCCAAATTTGAGGTTGATATCTCAAAAAAATCACTTTTTATTACTTTTATTACATCCTTCGTAGTATTAATGAATTACTAAAGTATTAAATTATTTTTAAAAAAGAGAGAGAGAAAATCTACTGACCCTAAACTTTTGAACTGTAGTGTATATTGTTAGAGAAGATTTATATTTTGAATAAATGCTGTTCTGTTTAACTTTTTAAACATCAAAGAATCCTGAAAAAAAAGTATCACAGGTTAAAAAAAAAAAAAAAAACATTGTTTCCAGCACTGATAATAAATCAGCATATTAGAATGATTTCTGAAGATCATGTGACACTGAAGACTGGAGTAATGATGCTGAAAATACAGCTTTGATCACAGAAATAAATTATATTTTAAAGTATATTAAAATAGAAAACAGCTGTTTTAAATTGTAAAAATATTTCACAATTTTTACAGTATTTTTGATCAAATAAATGCAGCCTTTCTGAGCAGAAGAGAGCACGTGCTGTTCAGCGCAGATTTTCACTAAAGATGTGCTGTGATGGATCTGTCAGCTCTGTTTGGGGTTTCTGGGTAGATTAGCTCAGTGAAGCGGCCCAGGTGTCTGCGAATCTCTCCAGAAAACTGCTCTTGAGCCACGTCTGGCGTCTGGGTCATTCGCTGGTCATGTATTTAGACAAGCAGTCGTTATTAGAGCTGACGCTCACGCCACACACCTCGACCAGAACTCTGGCAACGTTTAGAGTCCAGTTAACCGCAGATAGTGAAGGAAACTCCTCAAATCCTCAGGATGGTTGTGTGTGTTTTCCTTCTGCTAATGTTTGGCCGCAAGTCAAGGCCATGTCTAAGTGTTTGTTTTTCTTGCACTTTTGGTTGCGGTGAAAGTTTTACTGTTGTTATGCTTGAGGGAAACTGCAGATGAAATGAGATTACCACAAACACGTCATCAATTAAATCCCGCTCGTTTGAGTTCTCACAGACGCTCTATACTGATGTGAGCTGCTGGAAAACTCAGATTTCACCTTTCACATTAAAACCAGCGATGGAGGAGACGTCCTGTAATAATAAGCAGCTGTTGTATGACTTATTGTCTGTGTGTGTCTGTGTGTGTCTGTGTGTGTCTGTGTGTGT